CTCATACTAATGTTAGGGTGTGAAGGTTTAACAGCCTGGGCAGCCCTGATTTTAGTCCATGAACTACGTACAACCCAGTATGACTAAATAATCAACTATGTCTGGAGACTGAAAAATGTAATTTAACAATTTTTAACCTTGAATGAGAAAAAACTGTAATGCTTAAATGTTAAGGGAAACATTTGCAATACAAGCACTTAACCATTTTATCACTATGGCAAGTGTTACTGACTGACCTGAGGATCTTCACCAATTTTTCCTGACTTGTGAGCTCCAACAGGATTAAAGTACCTCAGCAGTACAGCATTCATTTTCTAAGGAAAAAAGGTGTTACATGTAGCCTAAAACTTAATTCTTATTTATAAATTCTGTGCGACAACACCTATTCTGTGAGTATGATACTTATATCTTGTACACCAAAGCATCTTAGAAATCAAGGGTACATGGTGGACAAATAACACTGCCTCATATGACAGTTAATTGAAGCAATAATATTGTTACCTCTTCAGCTTTGCATAGATCCTTAATAATTTCTTCGATAAAGAACTTGGATCGTCCATAAGGGTTTGTTATTCCATTACCCACTGGGTGTTCTTCACTGATAGGGAGACAATTTGGAACACCATAGACTGTAGCAGAGGAAGAAAATACAAAATTCCAAACCCCATGTTCCTTCATACACTGAGAACAAAGAAAAAAAAGTAAAATCACTAAAGAAACTTATGATGTATGGAGTTAAACCACAAGATATCAATAATTTGCTATAATGCTAGGAAACTTGACCTAGGGATTAATTAAAAATATTGTCTTGTGGTATATGACAACAAGAACAAATTAATTGTGAACCCTAATCAGTAATAACACTACAAACCTCCAATAGATTTATAGAACCAGTGATGTTATTGTTATAATATTGTAGAGGAATTTGTACTGATTCACCAACTGCCTTCAAAGCTGCCAGGTGAACCACAGCATAAAAATTGTGCTGAAAACAAAAAGTCTGATGTGAGAAAGTTTTGTCAAATATAGTACTGTCATTTAGAGAATTTCCCAAATTTTATTAACTTTCTCAGTGTTATCCATTTAAATTTATTTACAACATAAAACATGATATTCCTATAGAAAATATTGGTGTCACTTTCAAAGATTAGAAAATACATTTCAAAAATTGTTTTTGTGGTTCTCTCACTGGTCTTTGTACCCAGAGAAATTCATTCACTTGTATGGCATAATGTGATTAAAAAAATGCTACATGATTGAAAAAACAAAATAGTGTAATAGCACAAGGGGAGATAATTTCCTAAACTAGTAGCAAGAGAGTAAAAGTCAAGCTATGAAATGACTCTTACTAACAGTATTAAGTCTTCCAATTTATTTCATTTCTCATTCACCAGTGCATATTGCCATCAAGATCAAAATTGAATTCAGTTTAAAATAATTTCAGTAACGGTTGATTTGGATAATTCTTTTTTTTTTTAATTCATTTTAGACAACAACAAATACCTTGGTTTGATGTTACAAAAAAAACCAATGACATCTTACTTTTCTGAATATGTCTTTCAAGGCATCTTTGTTAAGTAAATCAACAGAATAAAATTTAAGCTCCTTTCCTGTTATTTCCTCAACTCTTTTCATGCTCTCTATCAAAAAAAAAGTTTAAATCTCGGTTAACTTTACATTAATTGAAAATTGCTCAATGAAATGTTGGTGTTCAGTAAATTCTTGTGCATACCATGCATACCAATTCATGTTATGCACAAGCCTGCCATAGGCAAAGCCCACCTCAATACCAAATGATGTAGAGAATTGCTTAGTGCTTCTAAACAAAAATAAGATACTCCCATTGGCTTTGTATGAAATTTTTATTCAGATTTCAGTCAATCCTTATGATTACCAGCCTAGGCCAATTTTTGTTTAGTGTCAAGATCAAAGCAGTTTTAAGGTATGCCCAAGTGTGGATATTTTTACATCTTCTAGAAAATTAATATATTTTTGGACTTCTTTGTTACTTCTAAACAAACATTTGAAACTGTTCAGACTTTTAACGAGTCTTTCAATCGTCTGAAAATTTCTGACTGTCTAGTATTTGTTCCATTTAAGATCATGCCTAACTAACGGGGAACTAAGCCACAGTGAGTACCATACCAGCGTGTCTCTTTGCTGATTGTAGACAGGCTCATAAAAAGCAACATTTGACCTAAACTGATTAGTGTTGCTACAACCCAAAAAGCCCTCCAAATCATTACCACATTACTACATTACCAGCACCATAGAGAAAGACTTACTCACCACTAAAAGCATTTACAAAGTTGTCGATAACGACAACCTCGTATCCAGCGGCAACAAGCTCTACAACCGTATGTGTACCAACATATCCTGCTCCACCAGTGACAAGAATACATCTCCCAATCATATTTCTATTGCTTGCAATCCTTAATGCCTACAGAATGAAAATTACAACTTAATAAAAAATTGCTAGGAGCAGTGCTTATTTTGTCTTCTTATCATTTCATGATAACATGTGATCATCTTATGACAAACTCTCCCAACAAATGTACCCACGTCAGTTGACACCAATAAACTAGCAAGTCATATGCGGTGTTTTAAGGCACTTTCTTTTTTAAACGCTGGTATACTAATTATAAAACCAAAAGTTATGTAATTCAACGTGGCATTTATGGTAATAAAATACAAGATTTATATATTAGATGAGCGGAAGCGCAGATTGACTCGATTACTCATAATTATTCCTTTCAGATTAAAACTCGTGGCACATTCTTAACACTCCATACTTCTTTCAAAAATAAAAAAAAGCTTTCAAGAGACTTACCAACCCTTAAATTTATGCCTGCAAGGTAAACTTAGCGCATGAGGTGTTAGCGAACTGTTTGATTAATCTTTCTAGCGAACGGATGGCCTAGCAACCAGGCCTTTAGTACTTGCAGTGTGCTGCTTATATACACAGTTTCCTAAGCAACTTAACCCCCCTTAATTCATTTGCTATTATAGGGAGAGGTAGCTGCAGAGAACCGTGGCCGATAGAGGCAAAGTTGGGCGAGACTTCAAAATCTGAGTGAGGACGTGTAGATAACGACTTCAAGACGTGGTTTTGCGAGACAACTATATATTATACTATATACTATATATATTTACTTATAAGGCCTTTTAGTATTTCTAATCTTTTAAAAAAAAAATTGAAAACGTCAAAACTAGGTTGTAACAGGGTAAAAATGGAAAGGGGAAGAAGGAATTTGAAGGAAACAGACTCAAGCCCTTTCTTTAGACTCTGTAAAGGTCAAAAGATGATGCGTGTGATGCCATTCTACAATGAAGTACAACCAGGAGGTGGGAGGTCTTCTCTCAGTTTAGAATTAGTCACTCTAAACCGTTTAAGTTTACTGAACTTTCTGATCCATCAGGAGGTGATCACTTGATGATCAACAGGAATTGCATAAAATAAAGTCTATCAATTTTTTTACTCCCTTCCTTGTGATACAAAAAAAAAAAAAAAAAAAAAACAGAAAGAAACCCAGGATATTGCATCAGTCTCTAATAACTCATTCAAAATCCAAGCAAGCTGATCAACAGTATCGATATCTTTCTGAACTGATCTCTTTATTAAGTGTTGACATACAACTCAATAATTGCATACAATGTACTTTAAATAACTCTGTCTAATGACATCTCCCAAAATAACTCAACTAAAGGCAATGAATTGGCAAAAACTTAAGTCTTGTTGGATGTGGAATGTAAGATAAAAAGCCACAGCGAACTACCCTTCATGCAACAATTTTACTTTTTCTTTTACATCAATGTAGTCATCAAATTTAGCTGCACATGTTCTCTACAATATTTTCTGAGCCCTGATAACAGTTTACAGTTTAGTGATGACCCACACTTTAATGAACTTAATGGGTTCCACTGTCTAATAATATAAATAAATAATGATTTACAATGGCAACCCAACCAAGTCCATGTCAACATAACAACACAAATCCTTTCAAACTGACAGTCAATGCTTCATATTAATGAAAACACAGTCACGTGTCATTGCTATTTCTACACAAAAATAGTCTTTTGGACAGACTCCACAGTAGAGCTCATAACCAAGTGGGGTTCATAAGTAAAGATAAAAATTTTAAGATGTGTGGTGTTGATCCTTCAACTGACTCTGTCTGAATTCTAATTCTCTCTTCTTGCTGTCAACTCTTGCGTATAACTTAAAGTTAGGAGAATTGGCAATATCAATGAAAAATAACCTATGGCTGATAAACCCAACTATTCTCATCACCACTTTCTAGATGAGTTATATTTTTACATTACAAAGAGAAGTTATAAATTAACCAGTTAGACCAAAGCCCATCCATGCAACCAGATTAAAAGAGCTGAGGACTCTGACTGTAACATCAAAGACCAGTAATATAAGTTGAGAAATAATAGTCAAGTGTGGATTCAAAATAGGAAAAAAAATTAAAAACCAAAATAAAAAAGAGGCAAATGTGGTGAACCGTTCTGATAATGCCAAAATTATACTTTTTCCAAAGCCTTAGAGACAGATAACTCAACTTTTTTTATAAATATTGAACATACTAAGTTGAGTTTCAATACATAAATAAATTACTATTTCAGAAGTTCACCACTGAGAAAATACAACAAATTCTGATGTGAAAAATTCATACCATAAAAATTGGTCATATATATAAATTATTTTTCAAGACCCTGGAGACTCTGTCTCCATTGACTTTTTCTGTAGAGAAAGCATCAACTGGAGAAAACGAATTATGCTATTAAGCCGTTCAAGTATAGAAGTCATCCCTAAAATAATAAGTTTGGGTTTATCCTGAAGTGGTAGTGCCGCAAGTACCCACCACATCCAATCTGGTCCATTGTTGCACAGCTGAATATCCTCTCTTAAGGCTGGGATGGGTCCAATAGCATTCATGATGCACTGTTGCTGCCTGGATGTCATTTGACTGAACCAAGTCTGTAATGTGTTGTGGCCAGTTCTGTTTAGTTCGTGGAGTTGTCTGATCTCATCTGCATCCTCAACCTGTTCATCCTTTAGCCATTCAACAGTTGCTGTATGGTAACCATCCAACATACCCCTTGACACAACATGGAAACGCTCTCCCCCTTCTGTATCCACAATTGAACGACCATCAGGAAGAAAATTCACTGACTTGATATTGAGCATAGTACCATAATCTGCAAAATTCTTGTTTGAGTCATCACTTGGGACACACATGCCAAATTGCTTTGAGCCTGAACTGACACAACGCCGTAACATCAGGCGATACCGTGGCTCAAATATGTGCAAAGGACATGGAACTTTTGGAACAGCTAGGGTGCAGACAAAAATAGGGACTTGAGCATGGCCATCTTTTCCCACACTGAAGAGGAGGGAAAAGACATGAATTAAGTTCTAAGTGGTTGGTTCAACACTTTAATCACCAACTAGAATTCAATAACTGATGCCACACTAATAAGTGAGCTTTTCTATAAAAAGAAACAATTTCAAGGCTGAAGGTACCATTAACCCCTCTGGTGGAAGCTATATTGAAAGACAAACAAAGTGCTGCATAAAGGTAAGAGAAATAAAGCAAAATTTCCCCACAGCCAGTTCAACTTTGACTTTAATCAGGGATTAAGTTGTTAATGTCATAGTTTTGATTGAGTAGGAAAAAAAGCAATTACAATAAAATCCATGTCTAAATTATGACTTATGCCTCATATATTCTACCAGGAGAGTGAGTTGGTTTGTTATGTTCAAGTGCACTAAGAGGAGCCTAAATAGAAAATTGGCATCACAAAGAGAGAAATCAGGTTATGTGTCAGTGAAGATGAGCTAAATTTAAACAGAATCAAGTAAACAGCCAAACAAAAAATAAGAAATAAACAAAATTGAAGCCAATACAGAGGGGAAAAAGACATTTCAATACTACCAAGCAGACGGTTCATGAATGTATGCCTTGCAGACCTATTTTAAAGATGGCTACCTTACGTCCCGAAACAATCAATTAGAAATGTTCAGTTTTATTAGGCCAGAATGTTCTTACATATGTATATACCATTCCCAAAACTGGTTAATTGTACAAAATAGGAATCGTCAATTTCGCCTCTTTAAATGTCAGGTTTTTCCTTTACTTTTTCGCAACACACGTGAAAGTCGGCTAATTACATAACGATCTTTCAATTATATAACCATTTTTCTTTCTTTTCCCCCAAGACTGTCGACCATGAAAGACATGCAACTCAAAGGGATGGAAATGTTTCTCTCTAAAAATAATGTGGTTCCTATCAATCGTCGCACCAGAAAGGCGATTTTACGACTCGAAAGTAAAGTAAAGTTTACTTCCAGGAAGATTCACTGACGCAACAAACTGTTATGTAATCGTTATGTCATCTTCATTCTAAAATTGTTACCCACCTCGCGAGTTTCTCGATGCTTTCTTGATAATTTCTCTTCCTTTCGTTATAATATGCCGTGAAATAGTTGACCAAAATCAACTCCAGTACTTCAGTGACTTCCATGTTTGGTACTCCTCGGTCGTATTGATCAAGAACCGTCCGACAACATGGACATTCGACGCGATGGTCCAGGCATCGCTCCAGACATTCTCGACAAAAAGTGTGTCCACATATTGTAGTTATCGGTTGAAATAACAAATTAAAGCAAAGTTTGCATTCAAAGTCATCTAAATCTTTCAATTTATCCTCGTATGTTACTCCTGCTGTACAGTTTTCGCCCTTAGATTTTTTGTTTTGTTGTCTTTCGAAGTTACTGGGAGCTTCCTCGCTGTTTGAAAAGGACCGAGATCTTTGCCTTCTCCGTTTGAACATACTTCCAGACTGACTGCTCGAACGTTTTGAACAAGTATTTTCGCCAGAGTTATTTTTACTATTAACTTCTCCACTAAATGATCTTTCACCACCATGGGCAAGGGTATTGAAGTGCTTCCCTACACTTCCATTGAGTGCTTTTTCCTGCGGTGTCGCAACAAGTTTAGTACCCGCAGCTCTGAGTACCAGCAAAGTCCTATTCGAGTTTGTGAATTTTGGGCTCAACAATTGATGCAAGCTCTCTGTGAACTCCCGACGGTATCGCTCGCATCCAGGCGCTAGAGCAGAGCAGCGCAACAAAGCTAACACACTCTCTTCGTGCTTGGATGAAAGAACTCCTTCGTGTTTAGCACAGTTCGCTAACACAGCAGCTTTCCTGTAGACAGTTCTTGCTGAAGTAGGGCGAAGTTTACATGCTTGCTCGATGTCTTGAAGCGCCAACTCAAATTGTTCAGTTTGGAGAAGTGCATCAGAACGCCAGCACAAACAGTGAAAATCATTAGCAGATACCGACAGGATCTTGGAAAAACAATCAACAGCTGATTTCGCGTCGTTCTCAGAGAGATGTTTATGTCCGACAAGTTTATCCACTTGATTCTGAAACTCCGAGGGAAACCATTTCTGAATGGAGTTCGTGATTAGTAAATTCACTGAGTGTTTCATATCTTCCGACTCAAACTTTCCGCATTTCGTACACTCCACTCGACCGGTGAACGAACGCTCCTCAATGAGGCAACTTTGACAAAATGTATGACCGCAGGAGAGGGTGACTGGCTTCAGAAAAAGGCACTGACAAAGAGAGCAAATTAAAATATTTCCGCTGCTGTTTACCACTGGAGAACCTTTTCCTTCTTTCCTCTCTTTACATAGTTTGTTTCTTTGAAATTCCAACAGTGCGGTAACCAAAGATTCGATACGTTCCTTTGGTACAACTCCAACACGGAAAGCATTTGAATAAGCACTGAACGACTGATCGAGTTTTCCCTTTCGAGCCAACAATTCTCCCTGTTCCAAAAGAGAATCGAGAGTATTCTTTTTTGCATAACTTTTCTGGTCCCTAGACAAGTTTTCCATGAAAGTTACACTACTTTAAAGACGGCAAAACAGAGAAAGTTCACGAACAACAGACAATGTAACGTGGTTTACAGAACTATCTGTGACAACGGGCCACTCCAAGTTGTGCGTGAACTTTTCGATATTGTCATCGTTCAACCCACGTGACAATTACTAATCCTAAGTACCACTCACGTGTAATAACTCGCTGTGTACCAAAATACGTTTCCGGTAAACGTGAGCATACAATGGAGACTGTTTCGTCTGTGACTTTTCCGCAAAGAAAGATTCTAACATTAAGTTTCTGTCTTTAATACTTGATCAACCCTTACCCTTCCTCGAAATTAAATTCTATTTTATGACAGACTTCTTTCCTTTAAGTTCTTACGTAATATTTTGATTTATGCATATCGTTTAAATCCCGGCAGAGCCTCGTTCCCAAGACTTTTCAAGGTCCCTTCGGATTTTTAAGGGAAGGCTCGAGGGTTTTGCAGTGTTTGCAGTTCGCTTTCACAGGACCCAGCTGAAAGAATGGCGAGATTAAGAATTCGCCAGAAGCATTTTCGAATAATTTTTTTCTTAGAGTTAAAAATTAAATAAAATAAATTTGGAACACAGAGAGGGAAAATTCCACCAAGTATGATGTCTGTAAAACGACCTATTCACGATTTACCATATAATTTAAAGATTTTATTACTTTAAGCAAAAGAATTCTCTACACACACAGTACAGACACCAATGAGTGTTTCTAGCCGCGGTTTACTGCCATAAAAAAACGAAAACAAGTGGAACTATACAAAGGCTCAATAACTGTTACATGAATGTTGTAAGAAATGGTGAACGTGATCAGGGAGGGGAGGTAGGGGGGATGAATATACAGACTGGGGGACGAGAGGGATTAAGAGAAAAGGACTCAAGAGAGGATAGCCGTCATCGGTTCTTCAGTGTTCCATCTTGGTCTCTTCATCTTTTGAGGCGTCCCCGCTTTCTTCAGCTGGAGGAGCCTTTTCTTTCTCCTCCTCTTCGACCGGCTGGGGTGAGTTGCTTTTTGCTGTGCAAAAACAAGCCAAAAATTGGAAAAGAGTCAGTTGCAGTGGATCGATGCGAGTCATTCATGTTGGTTTTGTTTGTTTTGGTTCTCAGATTTCTAAGTGGAAGCATTTACTTGAAAACATACACGTGATTACAACTTTCAGCCGTCATAAACATGTGCTATCGTGACTTGTTAATCTCCTTGATAAACTCGCGATTGGAACAAAGTCACGTTTCTTCAAGAGGTCACGCCACAAAAGGCTGTTAGGAGTAGTCACGTTTTTCAGATCTAATTACGAGTACAATCAACTAATACAGCAGATTATTGGCATAAGGCAACGTCAGAAGGAATAACAAGTGGCACGTGAGTCTCCTCGGCACATTTTCTCACAGTTACTATCATATCTTGCCGCTCCATAACGGAATGCACTCATGGAGGAACCACACGAGCTGCTTCGCTGTAAAGAAGGGCTCACGCTCGAAACGTCTGCTTCAGAACCTCTCAACGGTGGCCAATTTACGGCTCGGTTGATAAAACCAAAATATCTTGTAATACCCCCACCAACGCAGCACCAATTTCTTTGGAGGCTTACCCCCATTTTACATTAAAACCTTCCTCACGGTAATGAAGATACATTTAACATACAGGATAAACCATTTTCCCAGGCCACTGAAGTTCCGCCTTATAATGAAAACTCGAATAACCTAGGAACTCCACAGCGTGTTGGTTTCAGGATTTGTACAATATTCCATAAAACCAAATTGAAAATTAATGATTGTGAAAACAGGTTGTTCACTTGTTGTACACGGTGTAAGTCATAGCAGGGTTCTGATGAAACAGATAATCGTATAAATAAAGTAACCAACAACAAACCTGTACTGGTTGCTCCATTGTTTTCTGCATTGGACAAAGTATCTCTACAGAAAAACCCGTTAAGGTACACCATTAGAGTCTGATGTAGTTTTGCAAATTTCAAAGACTGTTAAGTTTTAATTATGTAAACCAAGTTGCAGCCAAAAATAATAAAAAAAACTTAAAACAAACAAAGACGACAATGAAGAGAAAGGAAGCAAGAAAAATGTCTTTTAGGGGGCACATGTTGCATCAAGACTATCAATTTCATTAAAGTATTGCAGGTTATCAAAACAGTTGCCAAAAGAGTAAAAGTAAACCAGAAAAAAAAAGAAAAAAAAAATCACATCACCAACTAAACATATGGCAAAATTTAAAACATTAAAGTACCCTATGCATAGTGAAAAGCAATTACCAAGGTAGCCCCAGCAGAAAATCCAGCTGTTGACATGTTGTTTCACTGCTTGTTACACACAACTTACAGCTGGTCAAATAAATAAGGCACCCCCTTCCTTGGAATTACATCTCAATTCTCCAAAATAATCACAAACCCCATTCAATATAATCTACGAAGAATTTCCGAGGTGATCAATACATACCCATCAGTATTTGGAGGGGCGTCAGACTCCTGTACTTCCATAGCTTCTTCTGTATCCTCTTTCCCAGTAGTAGCACTTTCAGCAGCTTCAGGACTGCATATCAGTACCCAAAAAAAAAAAAAAATCAGGAAAGTAAATGTACCTTGAGTGTCAAAATGAGTAGAGTGCATGGCAAAACTCCTTCTGATTTTAATTCTTACCAACACTTCATTGTTCACCTCATAACATAAACATTTAAGATCTCGAGATAAGTTAAAGTTCACAAGGCAACCAGGTGGACAATCAGACATGGTTTCATGCTATTCTGGTTAAAGATTTAATGAATGTAACCAAGAAGTTACAATTCATAGACCCAATGTTTCAACACTCCTGTCTAGCACCCTCATCAGTGGTGATCTAGTCACTGCAAGAAGAGGTCCTTTTATATGCTCACTAATTACCTGCCCTTTTGCCTTTGTTTGGAAGGCTGGCATATCCACACCACCACCTCCTTTAAAGCATGATGATGGTAGCTTACTTCCTGAGGCTTATTTACACCTCGTCAGAAAAAAGGGTAGCTCATTAGTGAGCATATAAAAGGACCTCTTGGTGCAGCAATTAGATCACCCTTGATGAAGGCACTAGACAAGAGTGTCAAAATGTTGGGTCTAAGAATTGTAGCTTCTCAGTTACATTCATTAAATCTTTAAAACAGAGTAGTATCAAACCATGTCTGATTTAAGATCTGATGAGTAGTTCTCTGTTTCACCTGCTTTACAGAAAAGTTCTAACTTGATTAAGAAATAAAAGGAAAAAAGTGTACCTTTTTCTACTGGCTTCTTGTTCAGGAGGTGGCTCAGTTGACATCTCAGATGTAACACTAGCAACTGTCTGAGGGGACCCCTCCTTGGGAGTACTTGTTGAGCTCTTGGGTTTCTCTTTCTCCTCCACAGGGGAGGTGCTGGGTTTTGAAGAGGGTGTGTTCTCATTTGACACGGCTGATGGTTTTGAGTCATCATTGACAGTATTTTCAACACCATTTGTGACCATTTTTTCCACTGGTGTACTGGATACTTTGGGTCGCTTGCGGGATCGTTTTGGCTCCTTTGGTGCCTGTATGTCTCTTCTGCTGTCTCCTTCATCTTCTGAATCTGACAATTCTTCCTGAGGTGCAACATGTTTATCTGATGCACGGACTGTAAGGAAAAAAAAAGTAAAAAAACAGCTAGTTTCAGAACATATAACTTAACATGCCCCTCAGTGTTTAACCCTTTCACTCCCAAGATCTCATTACTAGTTCCCCTTACTCTCTGCCCTACAATTCTTATGATGTAAGTTTGGAGAATTTGCTACTGGATCAACTAATAATAACATTATTGATATTTTTCTTCATTCTCATCACTCATCTGCATTGAAATTATATAGTAACTCTTTGGGGTCAAAAGGTTAAAGCTGTAAGTAAACATTGCAAACTACAGTGAAACCTCAAGCTCATGCTTTTAATTGTTTCCCTGAGAAAATGACAGGAAGAAAGGAAGAAATACTCACTACTTATTCTTCTGTCAGGTTCCATGTCCTCTTCATTGTCACTTTCCTCCAGAACTGGTGCATCATCAGGAATGGCTGAAAAAACAATATAACAAGTTATGGATTGTTACACCTCATTACATACTAGGTACTTCCTCTTTGAGAATTGAACATTCATTTTTTCTGAACAGCCCCTCTTCAAAGGAGTTGTCTGTAAAACTAGTCCCAAGAAGATCAACTTATGTTTCCAGAAACTTCAGATTAACATGACAAGAGATTAAAAACCCCACTGGTGGACAAGCAAGATTTATCAGGGTGCAATTTTCACTTACGGTGCATCTGTACTCCTGGAGCATGGGGAAGCATTCTCAAGTTTTCAAACAATCTCTGTCTACACACACAAAAAAGTACAAGATTAGCAAGATTTGTATAGCTATCAACATTTTCAATACAGTTAGGATCTGAACATGTTCTCTGTTTGCATGGCAACAACCTGGATTATAACACACATAACAAGGAACTGCATAGCACTAAACAAACAACATAATTAAGGAAGTCTATGGCATATGCCTTGTGCTTTTTTGGAAAAATAATCTTAAAGAGAAAAACTAGTCTTAATTCTTACTTGATTTTTTCCAGGTAATCATTTGTGTTTTGGTTGGCCATATTGGATGGACTAATGTGGAGTTTGAAGTCTGGACCAAAGTACTCAAAGTAATCATTGTAGGGAAGTTCTAGAAATAAAGAAAGAAGAAGATTCGGAAGGAGCAGAAATTTTGAACTATATGTTAAACTTTGGAGGCTATTTACAATGAACACACAGCTGAAGAAAGTGCAAGGCCAAATTATCCAGGAATTCCATCAACAATGAGACTTGAAAGTCTTTCCTGAATCCTAAACTAGACTAACAACAGCACAGAAGAGAAGAATACTGACTGTTCTTCTGACTGTCTACAAATACAACTAAGTTGAAAGAGACAATATGTAGACAATTAGTTAACATACAATGTTAACAAATCTGGATTCTTCATTTTAGGTGTTTTGAATAATTTCATTTTTTCATTTGTGGGAAATTTTCTTGGTTAAAATGTAAACCAACAAAATCAAGATTTCTAGTTAGAGTTATGCCTACCATTTGCAATATCAGAATCTAAAGCTACTGCTGTCTCAAATGTCCAGCATCTTGCAACATTCCTGATTGTGTATCCCCCTCCTCCAAGAACCAACAATGGAAGATTGAACTTCTTCACAAAATTCACACACTGAGCATGGCCTATAGAGAAATCATGGTAAATCAGATAAGTAAATCTTGATGCAGAGATTAAATTAATCCAAAGATAGCAATTTACACTCTTTGTATACAATCAGTTGACAGCAGAAACTAAAATGTTATTGTGAATCATCTTTGACTGGCCCACCAAGAGTAGCTTGCTGATTTGTGGGTAAGTCCAATGTAACAATAACAGTGTAAGTTGGAATCTTTGTCAAAATACCAACACTGACACTACCTTTGAGTGACAGATTGAAGCAGCCAAGTCTGTCTCCGGCCAAAGAGTCTGCTCCACACTGAAGCACAACAGCATTTGGTTTGTATACTTCCATTACCTTTGAGACAACCTGATGAGTGAAATTGGATAAAATAGTTGCAATCATCACTTGCTACAAAAGCAAGTTGAAAGAAAAAAAATGGAAAATCAGACAAAACAAACCATTGATTGAAACTTACAGGATTGAAAATTTGTTCATAAGACTCATCATCAATTCCATCTCTAAGAGGAAAATTCACAGCATAATATTTCCCTTTTCCTGCTCCAATATCCTGTGAATAAATGAAGAGAAACAATTAGTAAGAATGGACCCTCCAAGCAGTTTTAACTTTAATTAAAAAAATAAAGGTAAGCAGCTAGTTACACTCCTCATCATCTCACATGCTTCCTTTGCAGATTAAGCATTGAATTCTACTGTTTTGCTGTGAAGAGAGCTGCCAAAAAAACATTTTGAAGAAATCTTATAGGTAACAATGCATTATAACATTGACTACTCACCCTCAAATCACCAGTTCCAGGGAAATATTCTCCATATTTGTGAAACGACACTGTCATGACACGATCGGTGGTATAGAATGCTTCTTCTACTCCATCACCATGGTGAATGTCAATATCAATGTATAATACACGCTGGTGGTACCTGGAACAATAAGAGATTTAATTACAATTTAAAAAGTGCAATGGTTATAAAGCCCAAAAGAGTCTTTCACATTTCTTGGATCTGACCATGCAATGTTCAATAGTGTCTTTACTATGTTGAAATAGATGAGCAATGACACTTCTGGTTCATCTACTCACTCACAGTGCGTGAATGTAATAAAAAAAGACTAGACAGTCAAGGAACTCCCAACATATTCTGCCCCACAGTTGGTTTCAAATCTGATTGGCTTTAATAACCAATCATTTCTGCTAACTATGGGTTTTTGTTAATGGGATATAAGATATTACAACAGAGTTTGCTTGCCTCTGCAGCTGAAGATATTTCTAAGTAAAAACCGATGAAGAGTGTTCATTATATTTGTTTTTCAGGCTCAAATTTTAACCAAGTTATAACTAATACTTGCAGCAATTCTATAGTTTAGCTTGAAGAGCATTCTCGATATTTTTTAAACTCAGAAAAAACACTACACAAGAAATGTGACTGGCTAGCAAACACTTCATTCAAAAATAAAGCCCTTCTGGACATTAACAAAATAATTATTTTTGGGCTTCTTCCAGTTTACTCCTTACTCTCAACAACAGTTTTTCCTGGTAAACAAATTTGGAATTTTCATACTTTTAAACATTTCCTTCTTTTGTGGAAACCCAGATAATAACACTAAATAAAACAACACTCACTTCAGAAGCTCTAAAATGGCCAGAACAATATCATTGACATAACAAAACCCTGATGCTTCAGATTTCTTTGCATGATGCAGGCCACCAGCCCAGTTTATAGCCACGTCTGTCTGTTGTTTATTTAGCTTCACTGCTCCAGCTGAAAAAATATCCCAAAAAAATAATAAAATTTATCACAGTCACTTTACAACTCAAGATTCTAGTGGATTAAAATAAAAATAGAGTAGCATAATTTTGTAGTGAACAACTTTATGTCTCACATACCAATTGATCCGCCTGTTGAAAGCTGACAGAACTCAAACAAACCATCAAAGACAGGGCAGTCCTCACCAACATTGACTGATACATAAAGAAAACAGTCCATACAAATAAGTTATTTTTATTTCCTAATTTAGCTTAATTACCTTATGTACAAAGATCAATAGCCATTTTGCTTCTAGGAAAAAATTAATGGTGGACTATGATCTAGAGAGTTTAAATCAAAGATTTGTAACAAATTAACCAATGCCAGCAGAATATAATGATAGAGACCATGAACAACAAAAATTCTTATACAAAATAAAATGACACATAATGGCACAAAAGGTGTCTTCTATCATTGACACTGTGATTACTCTAAGCCTGGAGTGAATTATTTTCAAAATCCATCAGTTTAGAAACAAATCATAATTTACCAATATTGTTTACAACACACCAAGCTACTCACTGATAATTAGAGGAGAATGGTTTAAAAAGTTAAATAAAATTCCATCTAGCAGTACATAATAATTGATAGGCGTTACAAATCAAGAAATTCTGTAAATCTATTATAATTCACAATTTAGTAAGACAAAAAACTTTCAGTTAAAGCGTAAATCCCAAACCACTGAAATATAATTCATAATTTTGAATATCCAGTTTACCTAGGACTGTATCGATGATGTAGAAAACTGTATTATAATAAAGAACTTTGTAAACACATCGACAAAAACAACTTACGAACTACTGAACACGGGAAAGTTGAAAGAATGCAAAGGGAAATGAAAGCACATGTGTATTCATTCAATAATTTTCTAGCCACTCACATCTCTGCATTTGCTTTGTGTATTCGGACATATTGTCGGGTCTTATAGTCTTTAAGAATTTTATGTAATCATCTGAATGGTATTTAGTCATCTCGTCCAGGTTTGCTTTGTGTGGACGCTAAAATGAAGAAACGTGAATTGGTGAAATGACATTTCATTCAAATGAAAGAACTGACAGTTTTTAAATCAACGTTCTCGCAAACTCTAAGTCTAGCTTTTACACTTACATAGATCTCCATTTTCCTATACAGGCCATAGTTAAGAAGCAAGTTGTGGGTCATTCGAATACGATGTGGCTTCATGGGATGGCCTTGACCGTAGTAGTAGTTACCAATGTCACCTTTGTTCGGAACACGAAAAAGACATTAGGACACGAAGACAAAATTCATTGATTTCCGCTTAAAAATAGGGGAAACATTTCATACAACTCATCTTGAATACATTTCCTCGAGACAAAGTGGACGTTGGCAGCAGATTCGTATCTTACCATCGTAATAATAGCAAACTCTTTTCTTTCCGCCAGTAGTTGTGTACGCCATGCCGGTGATAACTCTTGCTTGCTCGGCGCTTACTTTGAACGCGACTTAGTCACGTGATCGTCTTAAGCCAATTGGAGAAGGTATTTTTTGGCTAATTAATTAGATTCCATTACTTCTCAATAAGCCTGACGGCTATTAATCCATAAATGGGTTCTAAAGATAATCAAAGAAACATGTGAACATTTTTTTTTTTGCTGAGGCCTGGAAGAAAAGCCTTTGTTATGATTTTAAAAATTTATTCCGGTTTTCCGACAAGAACTTTTACTGGCAATACCGAAAATCAGGCAGGCCTTCGAAACCTTAATCTCATTCATTTTTCATTTTCACAAGAATAGAAAGAAATTTTGGACGTGCAGCCATCAAGTGACCACTAAATACATCTTTGCCAATAAATTACTCTTTATTATCGCTATGGATCATATATTTTCTTGGGTATGGAGGCAAAGAAATTGTTCTGCTGGTTTTCTTAACAAGTTCATCCCCTCGTTCTCTCACAAGAAAGAATCCGTTTCTGTGATCTCTACAACCGCCCGGTTAGGTGAATAATTTGGGCACTGGACTGCCGCAAGGAAGAGAGTGGGAGACAAAGGGCCCGATGTGCGCGGTTTGTGGCCTAACCAGTACCTTTTTTTTTTTTTTACTGTCGTGGCTCTGGAAAAATGAGCGGATAAACCGCCAAGGAAAGTAAAGTCTTCACTATTGTACAAGGGCTGATGTAGGTGTGCCCTTTTACTTTTGAGAATTTTTTGGCTTTTTTCTCCTATTTCGACAAAGGGTCTATCAAGTGATGCATATGTGTTACTGATGTGGCGTGAGGTTGCGCTCTCAACAAAATATTCCGCTCCCTCCCCCCTCCCCTCCCGTCTGAATTAATAGGATCTGCCCCTGATTCATCATATAAATTTATTCGTTCGTTTGTTGGCTTCGTCACGTATTCTTTTAGGGAACTGAGGTTAGGTCCATTGTTATTACGGAGAATTTAGAGAAGATTGTAAGAAATTCCTAGGTGCAATCACCAGTTAACTAACATTTGCTCGATCTCGGGTCCAATTAGAACACGGACACGGGCTCCTCGAGAAAAAAATTAACAACAGAGACAATATTTATTGGAATGCTTTGTCAGAACCGACCACTTCCTTATTTATTGAATATAGGAATGAAAGATACTCGGGACGGTGCTAAAAAGCACTGAGACATTGATGGGACACAATTGGATTATTAGACTGTAAATAAAACTTGGAGCTATGAACAAGTATTAAGAGGATAAACGTCATTAATTAGTTTATGAGTTCTAATCAAAAGAGCAATATCTTTTATAATCCTCCACTAGTTTTTTCCCGGAACAATTTGGATTTATCCTGATTAAAAAGTCACATTTTATAATTCATCGTGGCTTGAATCTTCAGGCTCATCCTCAATGAAGACTTTATAATTTTTCATAATCTCATCCATGGTAAGTTTGCCATCTTTGTCTTCATCAGCCTCTTTTATGAGTGTTTTAGGTTCTTCAGTGGAGAAGTCATCATCTGGGAACAGCCAGCTTTTCATCTCTTCTTTGTCTAGTTTGCCATTCTTGTCCTTATCAAAGTTGTTGGCGAAATCCTTTTCCATTTCTTCTTTAGCGTCATCATTTACATCACTGAATGTAGCTGCACAATAAAATTTAACAAATAAATATGAAATACTAATGTTGACATTGGGGATGGATGGTTAGGACCGGAGCAGGAAAAGCCTGGTGAGAAGTTTTCTCACTCAGTTCCAGGCAGGGTAGTTTATCTCACTTCAATGGTATTTTTTTTACCTAAAAATTCTTTCTTTGATATTTGACCATCCTTATCTTTGTCGTGTTTTTTGAGGCTATCTTCGATGGTAAATTCCGTCATTCTTGGATTATCCTGCAAAACAAATAAAACTATTATAATTTTGCCTATTTTGACCTGATTATTTTTTTCATGAAAGGGATTGTGGGCTTTAATCAAATAATATTTCCTCGTACCCCTGGGTGGTAAAACGCCATGTATTCCTCCAAGTCTAAATTCCCGTCTCCATCTTCATCAGCAAATTTAAATTTTTCTTCATCTTCTTTCATTTGTTCTTTAGCGTCTTCATCTTTACCATCATCAGAGAAATGACCTTTTTTGAATTCCTCCCATGATACCTTGCCATCTTTGTCTGCCAACAAACGTTAACAAATTTGTACGTCAAATACTGGCAGTTAATATCACCACTGGTGCCGTTGCGTCTGAAAATGAACGCAAGCGTCTAAAGTCGGACTTCCGAAAACGGGCACAAGAGTTTGAAAAACGGCCAAAAACGGGACCATAACGTCCATTGTCTGAAAACGAACGGCGCCGTCCGAAAACGGATGGAAGTGTCGGCAATAGAATAAATCCGTTCCAAAAACAGATGTAAGTGTTCGAATATTAAGTTTAATTTACGCAAGCCTAATGTTCTTTAAGCAACCAAACTAAATATTGGTTTAGAACTAAACTTCATATATATACTAGTTGTTTGGGTGGTCCGCCACGGAAAAGCTAAACCTAATTCTAAACCTTATAGAACTCTTGGTTGTCGATTAGTACAGGGAAGAATTATAACTCACCTGACCAGTGACCAGTGAGAAGAGTGACCAGCTAATATATTGTATGAGCTAAAATATACCAGCATATACTGACCCTCATCGTGTTGTTTCATGGTTTCCATGACTTCTTTTTTCCTGTATTCCTTTGTAGTTACGTGAAATCTCTGTCTGATCTCATCCTCTGTCAACACTCCGTCCTTATTCAGATCTACTTCATCTTTGATTAGTTGCGCCAGTTTGGTTTTTGCGTCTTCGGGGGAAAGCCCTTTGAATTCAGTGTAGTTGTCTCCTGGAGAGGGTTTGAGAGGATTCAACAATAAGACAGTGAGAAGTGCTGAGAAAGACCATTTGAGAGGCTAAATAAAAATTTTAATCTCAGTTACAGATGATATTGGCGCAGGAAAACTTAAGTTATTTTTTTTATTACTACGTTTCCTTTTACCGCCCCCCTACAATACCGTCCCTACCCGTCGGATGTTTTTTTCTCTGACAAAGAAGCAAATAAGTCACCTGTGTCATAATCTATTCCCCTCAATACCTGTACCTGAATTTTAAGTTTGTAAAACAGTTTTGTAACATTTAACTTTTGCATTTTTAATCGCACGAGCACAGTAAAAGAAGGACAATGAAACAAAGTTCAGGGGTTAAATTCAACCTTCTCCCAGCGCGAAATGTTTTGCGACTTATTTAATTTTTCCTTCTTAAATGCTGTACACTTTACATTCCTTACCATTAATTAACACTTCCTTAAAAACATCGCAAATCCGGTTTTCAGAAAGGCCATCTCCGAAAATTTCGAAAAACCTTGATGCCCTTGATTGTAAAACTTGGAAGTTCAAAAAGTAACTAAATGGCTGCATTGACAAATATTTCCTGGGAAAGCTCAAGTTCTAAATTCACAAAGCTCTCCTTTTCCTTTCTTTTCCAACACCTGTCCCAGTATACTACTTAAAAACTTAGTAGGTATCCAATTAATATTTGCTATGAACTCTCAAAGTTCAATTCATTCCAAAAAGGCCGGGTTTAATTATATTTATCGAGCCAGATTTTTAATGTATTTTACATAGAGGTGTCTTGGCGAACAGGTGATGACCAGAGTGCAATGCTAACTTACCTAAAAATGCGTCGTGTTCAAGGTGACTTTGATCATTTTCATCTTCTCCTCCATCATCTCCTTGACTTTCATCTTCTTCATCATCATCGTTGTCATCTTCCATTTTATCGTCGTCTTTTTCCTCATCCTCTGTTTCCTCCTCATCAGCAGGATTCTGTTCGTCTGCATGGTCTGCCATTTCTTCATCGTGTTCGTCTTCGTCGTGTTCATCTTCTGAATGTCCAGGCTTCAAATGATCATCTTCCGTGAAAGCAAAACTCACAGTGATACCTAAAATTAACAGAGCTAACCACCAAGAACGAAACATGTCGATCAATCAGATGTAGTTTTGCTGTGCTCTAAGGTTGGAGTTATTACAGCTCTTTGTTCTTTATAATGTGATGTCCGAACCAAGACAGCGAAGTTCAAATTTAAGACACGTGTATTTGGATTTCGTAGCAATGCGTGCCGCTTTTGGAGTGGTAGGTAAAGCTAAACATTACCAGCTCTCTCATCCTTAGCACAATGTTTTGGTTCTCATTAGATAGAACATAAATGGAACACCTTGGTAAACATATTTGGCATTCATAGATTGGATGTGAAAAGAAAATAATTGAATATTTAAACTTGTAGCAAATTAGCCACTTCAATTCAACTGTTCTTTCTCGCGTAACCAAATGGTTGGTTGTCCAATATTTTTATGCTAAAGTTAAAAGTGTTAATGATTAGTTTGGTCGACCAGCGCTGGTAATTGAGACCCGAAAATTGATTAATGCGGATGAAGATCTAAAAGACTGCATCAAGTGGTTTGAAAGCAGGTAGTATTGGCATTCAATTAAATAGTGATTTTGAAACGTAAATCAGTAATATTGGTGGAAAGGCTAGTTACCTGTAGACAACTTCTTTGTAAAAATTATGAAAAAAAAAAAAACTTCCCTTTTTACCTTCTCCAGTTATATTGACATATGAAACTGTTCTTTCCGAGAGCACTTTAAAGTGGTTTATCATTTGTTTAGCGGCATCTACCCTCTGGTCTTACCCGACATGACAAACAATCCATGACTTCTCCAAGCTGCAAGAGCTGTTTTGTCCACGTTGTTATGATTAAAGAACTTTTGGAACAGGACTAAACTAATAAGTCACGATTAGTGAGAGAAGGAAAGGTCGACTTTCATAACAAAGGCGTGGTCTTTAGCGCCTACGGCTCTTTCTTAGGAGCTGACGGTTAAGTGATAAAGTAATCAAATGTTTCACCCTAATTCACAAATATCATGAAGGCTGACGGGTAGATTTTGGCGGTAGAGCGGGAGGGGGAGTGAGAGGGATGAGCGGGGGGGAGGGGGAGTGAGAGGGATGAGCGGGGGGGAGGGGGGTGAAAAGGCTGATTGAGACGAACAAAAAAGAATGAGGGCTTCGTTGGCGAAAAAAGAGGTTTCGTGTGTTTTGCCTCCGGAATAAAAGTATGAGACGGTGAAAACGACGTTATGACCACCAAAGAGGCCACAGCTTGCAAAGGAAACACGGTGGAAAAAATGATGATGGTAACAATGATAACGGCATACAACACACTGTAACACTGTTTAATACTTCTGGCTACTCAGAGGTTTACCAAAACAAAGTACACTTTTTCCACTATTTCGAGTTATCATGGTGAAATTCTTTGCATGAGTTAAAAGAGTTTCAATTAAAGAACAATACCGAGGTAAATGGAAGAAAAGTTATATTTATTTGTAACAGAAAGGACTCGAGAACTGTGCACTATCGCCGATAAAGAATCGACGATAAAATACGCTTTACGTGACTGATCGTGAAAAAGAACTCACTCTCAGAAGGTATGTGCACAGAAATTGTTTCAAGCCCGATCAGCCTAAATAGAAATTGTTTTTGGCTCAAAAACCAGAACAAACTGCTATAAATGGTTACAGAATTATAATATCTCTTGAATTGTTTTAGCATGGGTCTAGTTTTTAACTCGGACTGTGGCTCTTCAAGGCGACGTCAGGTGACACGAATTCATGATGGGACAATGTCACTCAATTACGTAGAATATATTTTCAAGTGAACAAAAGAAGACTCTGAAGAAATAAATTAAACAGTAACTACCGTCAGTAACTTAAAACGGGAAAGGTAGCTCGCAAGGTTTGTTGTCACTTTGGCAATTTCAAATGAGTTACACATATCAGGTAAAATTCTACAGCCCAGTACAGATGCAAAATAATAAACGTGAAGTATCACCAAAAGCTGTTCGAAAACGAACAGTGAGTCGTGAGTTTGATTGTCTCGCTTTTGTTCTGATAAACTTAATACATTGGCAGTTCAACTGGGATTTAGAATCCTTCTGTTATGATTTCTGATCTCCTAGCAACGTCCTTAGTAACACAAGTTGGATTTGCAGGATAGTCATCTTCGTCGATGAAGAATTCCGTCTTGGTTGGTTTCTGGCACCACGTGGCAAATGACGATGCAATGGATTTATGCTGCACCTTGATTGAATTCCATTGAGCGTTAGAGATCACTTGTCCATGATCAATACACGAATCAACATACAGTCCGATATTTGATGAGGCGAACACGGGCTTCATGGCTTTTAACGTTTTACTTCGGAATTTCTTGATCAGCTTCACTTCTTTCTTGGAACATTTGTAAGGAGTAGAAGCACAAGGGATTTCCCAGATGTGACTCAACTGCCACGAGTCGTACAAAGAGTTCACGACAAACAGACGACTTTTAACAAAACGTAAAAAGTACTGAGGGAAAATACATTTCCACAGGTCTTTCCCTGACATCTTCTTGACGCACTCTTGAGGGACCCCATCCGTACAGTCATGAAGCTTAAAAACATTCTGCATCGCCTTCCTGAATTTCTTCTGTTTTTTGTGTTTCCGTGAAGTTGTATCGAGGAAAAATCCTGAATCCGCAAGCGATCTGAAATGTGCATGCTTGGGGAGTTTTGAACGGACATAATCGGCGTGAAGCATAACAGCGAGTCCTCCAGCAGAGGTACCAGAAAACACAACATTCCTGGCCTCTTTTAGACTTGTGTCAGACAACAATTCCGATATGGTCGAATCCAAGATTCTGAAGCCTCTAAAATACAACAACGAACCTTCAAACTCTACTGGGTCAGATCTGTTGCCTGAAAACGACGAACCATCACAGTATGGGAGATACGCCACGTTCCAGTCGTGGAATTCAGGATTTTCTTTAGCACTGTTTGATAAAATTCCACCAGGATTACCAAGAGGTTTGAAGAAGAGAGAAGACCCCAGATGCATGCGGCTCCTTCCCGAACAAGCTTTCTCACTCTCGCACCATGCCCCACCCTGTAAGTAAATAATCCAGTTCTTGCCTGCTTCGGCAGATCCCTGTCTCACATAGTAACCCGGTGTGGACCCATCAAGACATACAGCGCCTATTTTGTCAGCATCTCTCACAGCGTGGTACACAAACCCGTTTGATGGTTGATTGTAATATTGCAAAAGGGAACTTTCCTCTGCAGAGTAAGTTCCCTGTGGTGCCTGTGGTGCCTGTGGTGCCTGTGGTGACTGTGGTGTTACTGTGTTGATGATTGGACCTGACGAAGGATAATACACAGATGGGTACTGCGTGGAATATTGTGTGTTTGAATTGGACTGCTGAACATCCGCTATTGGAATTTGACTTTCATTGAAGTTGTCATGGTGTGATTCCATTTCCTTTAAGTGATGGTCCAGTTGATGATGATGATGATGAAGTCTGTTATGGTGATGGTGATGATGATGGTGATGACGTTTATGTTCATGATGCTTCTTTACTTTTTGAGCCTCCATTGTCACATTACTAACGCTCCCGTTGAAGATTCCGCTGTCCGCGTGGTGACTGAGGGCTCGAGACGCGTCTGCTTCTTCGGTAAATGAATTATTTTGATGTTTGTGATGATGATGATGATGATAATGTTTGTGAAGTTGTTTGTGGTAATGTCGATGTTGTTTACTGTGAAGCTGTTTATGTTCTTCACTATTGTTTCCTCTAAAAACATCCTTATCGAGTTTCGAGAGGATTTCTTTCATATTGTGTGCGTAAGCCTTTTTCTTGTGCTCACCAGAAGAAGCTCCAGACTCATCCGAATTTGAGCCGCTTTTATCTGTGTATCCTTCAAACATAGAGCTTATATCTTCTCCTTTGTAGTGATGGCGGCCCAAAATGTCACTCTTACTCATCCCAGTTTCCTCTTTGTTTTCTTCAGATACCAACTGTCTTGCCTCTTCGTCAGTAATGGCATCGTCCAAGTAACTGTCATCATCCTCCTCTACTTCTGGACCCAGATCCCCATCGTTCTTGAAATCTTTGAAGAGCTTGTCATACTCACTTTCACTGTCCCCCTCAGTAACCTTGCTTTTCTTATAAATATCGCTTCTTTTCCTCTGAACCTCACCTCCCTTTAGAACAGCGGGTGACATAACCTTCACCTTGGGTTCTTCTTTCTCTTCTTTTTGAGAGTCTTCATCGTTGTCATTTTCTTGTTCATCATCAGTGCTGCCGCTACCGTCTTGTGCGTTTAATTCTTTCTCAGGAGTTTCGTTTCGTTCAACCTCGCCTTTACTATCCCCTGAGAAATCTGCACTCGTCTCCTCAGGACTGTCCTCCCCAGAAGATACCTGAGTCATTTTATCAACTGCCCCACGCGCAGAAGAATCTGTGGTGTCAGACTCTTGAATATCCACCATATAACTGTTTGGATAAATTCCACTCCCTGACATGTATTCTTCATGAACTTCTCCACTTCCGCTGGGGTCATCCTCCTCGTTTGGGAAAGTACTTCCGCTAGACTCTTCGTTTTCGTCCAAACTATGAACCTTCTTCCCATGTGATGACCTAGCTATGACACTCTTTGCAAACTTTTGATCCGTTTGCACTGAGCCAGTTTTGTACCACAAATACTCGCCAGGTTTGCCAGACTTCGAAATATCTTGTTGAACTTTGCCAATTTCTGATTTCTGAATATGTCTTGAAGACACAAAAACAATCAGTGCTAAAGTGTACGCCAAACGTACATTTAAGGTGTGGTATAGCATGTCTGAAATTGAATCGCAGAGCTCGTCGAGCCTGCCAACAAGTTAAAATCGAATCAGATTTGGCTGAGGGCAAGTTCTTTGAACTTTTCCTGAGGTAATTTGATGTCACGCAGATCCAGGTACCTGTGTTCTCTCTTTAGCTCTTGCCTTGTTTGTTTTGATAGCAAATCATTAAAATAAAGAAATATCGAGAGCTTGGCAGACAAATCTGTTGTTTGTCAAACCAAATCAACCAGGGCAAGATCCACGGTTTGGTTCACAAATCGTCTATAATTAATCTTGAGTTAATGGAGCGGGTGGTTTAGCTGTGTAAAACACCACACCACCTGGTGACTTTTGAGTGCTCCGTCAGTAGAGAAGGTAATACTTTTCACAACAGTACTAAGACATTTAAACAACGATTAAGATGCGCGTGGCATTAAAGTAACCTGTAATCATCGATTAGAGAGTTTTCATTCTGCCTTTCTTGTGAGAGATCTGTTTATAAATTCTATATCAGTTGTTTTTAAAACAGGTCATGTGTTTTGATATAAAACATATTAGCAATATATTAAATCAGGCGAGTGATTCCATTCTTATGTGCTGTTGGTTGGATCTGACCGTGAAACGTTCACTTCAGTCTGCACAGAAATATAAAAAGAATGACATAAAATGCTACGCAGTGTACAAATCCGACTTTAAAAAAATTAACCGACAAAGAAACTTGAAGAAAATATAGGCTCAGCTCTAGTAAATTAGTAATTAAATACATCCCCATGCAACACTGGGTAGACAAATTTCGACAGCCTTTGTTCCAAAAAAGCAGTGTAAATGACGCAAATATGTAAAAGATGAAAATTAATAGTTTTTACTTTTAAAAATAGGAAGGTCAGTGCTAGTGTCTGCAAATCCATTAAAGACAGGCGAGCCATTCATCTAAGACCACTTTCGCATACGAACAGGACGTAAAAAGAGTTTGCCATACAGCGTAATGTCCCTGTAGTATTTTTTCACTCCCGTTTTCCAGCTATTTAGAACCTGGCGAGCATATTTCCAATATAAAATTATTTCAGTCGGCCATAAGTCGTTACTACCAATTCCTATCCATCCACCATAGCTCAAGGCTCTCTTATTTTTGTGCCGAGATCTCTCCGCTAGTTTCTTTGTACACGTGGTTACTCCCAATCATTAATGTCTGACTGGTATTTACTGTAATAGCTCCTTTTTTATCACAATGTGTTGAGCCCCGAGGGTGATGGGCCTCCTTAGTACGATGTCCGGCTGAGGTATCCCATACTGAATGTCAGAGTTAGTCAGTTGTTACGGTACAACTGTTGAAGGTTGTAAATCACAGCAAACTTTTTACCATGTAAGGACCCTCCAGTTCGTAACCAATTTTACGATAATAATTTCGAGTTCCAACTCCTAAGGAGAAAATACAAGGTTTGTTTTCATTATAATGTCCTGCTTAGCTGGGGCTTTAACTTTTAGCCAATGAATCGTTGAAGTCAATCAAAGAAAGTAATCATTCTTTCCCTCCTACATCAGGCATGGTTGAGTTCACGTGGTCTGCTTTCAAATAGTTTCGTGCCGAGAAGAAACTCAGTAGATATATTTTTTGCACCACTGTACCATTCACTCTAACACAACAAGAGAGGTTTAGAAAATACAATGTATTATCTGCCATCTACCCCCACATTTTGGCTCATTTTGGAGACAAAATTAGAGATTTTCACCTTTTTTTTTTCCAAAGGTCAACATTTAAACCCCATTTTACCAAACAGAATTCATGAGCAATGCATGAAGGTCACTTAGTACACCCATGACCCTCTGCGCACTGAAAAGGTTTAGTGTGATTTAATTCTTAAAACAGATAAATACCTGAAATTACGGCAATTTTCTGTGAGCCGTGCTCTTCGCGGGCAATTCTCTCTGCTTCTTCCATCAACAACATTCCAAAACCCTGAGAAACGAGACACCTTTACTAACAATCCTAACTAAATACATTTTCCAACTGTTACCACCTCACACGTGAACTTACTTGATGCTGAAATTTGGAAGGATCGCGGGCGCTGACAGGAACTACACTGCCGTAACTAAGGTAACAAGTTAAGGAAAAAGAAAAAAAGCTTAGACTGGATTCATTGCATTCTTATGGCCTCTACTTGCTTAAGGAAATAAACAAGTTTACGGTGTTAAAATTTCAGCCAATACACCACCGTCTCCATCCCCTCCCCCCCCCCTTTACCTATCCTTGTTGTGATTAGTTAAGGAATGGAACCCAAAATGTCAGAATGTAACTCCCTATGAAAAATTACAATTAGTCATCATATGGTCCAGTTCCTGAATTCTGACTGGTCTACAGGCCGTGGTGTATGAGCTGATATACCATACACCAATTTCGCGGAATAAAGAATAAGATTCTTATAAATATTGAAATATTCCTTTGGGCGTTTTTGATGAATTAATGATTCCACATTAAATACTTAAGTTTTATCCTAAGTCTCATAAAAAAGATACACATGAAGTTCTCTGACGATAGAACAGCCTCCTTTCAATTCAGGTCTGAAGGATGCCTCTGAACACTTCCTCAATCTTAACAGACCGACTAAAATATCTGTAGACCGTGAAGGAAAACTGATCTTCAAGATGTATTCAACGAAACTAGTAAGCAAACTAATCAGATCTATAAAAATCTTGTTGGGTTAAAATTCAGAAAAAAATATCCTTTATATATTTATCAAAATGTCTGTGACTCAAGAGTCTACGGGCACGCCCTCATCACTAGCGCTGCAGGACGCACGTTTCACCGTCCGTGGGACCATTTGAGACGACTGAGGATAATTTTGCTGGGGTCTGGGACTGTTAATGAGTATCAGACCCTTTGTAGACCTCACATGGGTCCGCGAGTAAAGAAACGCTTGTGCCGGAGCGCTCGCTGGCTGGTGACTGCAGAGGAAAAAGTCACAACAAAACTATGCGTTATATATTAAAGTAAAAAGGATATCTTGCTCTGGGTCTTCATAGGACAGAAACGTTTCCCATCCACCATTCGCCACATAGTCTCGGCGAATAAGCTCAATCTGTAGAAGAAACATCAACAAGAACATTACTGAGATGGCGCGACATTACAACCCTTCATCTAGAAAAACTTAAAAGTAATGTCATAAAGTCCTAATGTTTAAATGCAATAATAATGTAGTTCTATCGTTTATCTCACGATGTAGTCAATTCCTACATTGATTAAAAAAATTGAAAAACCGTAACACTGCACCCTCTGACTAAATTTATCGAGCTAAGCAGGAAAAACGACGAGAATGTGAGGCGTTACAATAAACTTAAGAACTAAGCAGGAAGCGGAAAAGAACACTTGACATTGCGGATGTCACCAACACTTGGAGAATTTGTTGATGCCATTAAATAATCATATCAAATAAGCCTTAACTTACCTCAAATGGTCGAACCTTATGGTGAATTTCCTGTATGCCAACCTCACGGGTTCGAACATCACGACACTAACATGAAGTGAAGAGTAATACATAAAATTGAATTTTCCATAAAAAAGAAAACCAACACACTTCTCACTGACAAGAAAAACATCGGTGACAGTAGAACAAAATTGCTTTATGTATAATCACGACGTCAGACACGAATTCCTGAAATACTCAAAACTAAAGAGTAGAAGTGACAGTAGACAAGTTACATTGGGCGCAACTCCAGGAACAAAATTCTAACCTGTGTTCCCAAATCCTTCATACGTGCTAGTGCCAGTTCCCTCAAGTTGCCATGTTCGACACCAGAACTTACTAAAGGCATGGGGATATCCCTGAGACAAAAGCAAACACTTGGAGCGCATTTCATTTGAGCGTGGTAAAACAAGCACCAAATTATATGAAATTCATATATTTGCACTGCGGTGAAGAAATGAAATTAAGAGATCCTCGCAGCTAAGAAGACTACTGAACTAGTAATTGAAAATATGACCTGAAAAATCCCGTACGGGATTTGAACCCATGAACTCTGCGATATCGGTGCAGCGCTGGTCAATGTGTTGGGTCCAAATAAACCATCCAAGTGATGAATGATGATTTTAGATATATGAAATTCATATATTTGCACTGCGTTGAAGAAACGAAATTAAGAGATCATCGCAGCTAAGAACACTACTGAACTAGTAAAAAATTCAGGCCCGTACGGGATTTAAAACCCATGACCTCTAGTTCAGTTGGTAGAGCGCTGCACCGGTATCACACAGGTCATGGGTTCAAATCCCGTACGAGCCTGAATTTTTTCAGGTCCTATTTTCAACTACTAGTTCAGTAGTGTTCTTAGCTGCAAGGATCTCTTAATTTCGAAGTACCAAATTAATTACAGCAGCCATTCAGACCGAAGGAGCCAAAGAGAACTCAAAGTAAAATCTCAGGAAAAACTGCCTGAATGAAGCAATCAAGTTATGGTTAGATTTGGTTTTACATGTACATCTGATTGGTCCAGACCGTTGCGCGATTTTCTTCACCAGTTAACTGGACGTAGTGGATCAAAGCTGATGGAGACATCTAACAGTTTTGTATAAAGATTATGTACATTGCCATCAGAAATGTACTTAACATAAGTCGACTTACACGAACACAACTGTGAATACTTTGTATAAGGGTTCCCCCCTCACTTCCAGTTTGTGAGACTAACCTTTGCACTCTATAGACTCGTGTCCAGGGTGGTACTAACGCTAGAATCCTCGCGATCAAATCCACCAATGTATTAGGAGGGTAACTCTTGTAGCGGCCGGTCTTCCATAACTCGTACAAACCTAAAAATGTTTGAAACAAGTTGTGAAAGATCCCACGTAAAAAAAAGAGAATAAATTAATGAACCGTATTAATTAAAGGTATCCTTCGAAAAAAAAAGGTTGTTCAACCTTTCCCTGTGCAGTGCATCGTCGTGGGCAAGCTTATCAAGGAGTTGATAATTATGAAAGAGCGCACACAAAAAGTGTTCAGTTAGACAATGGAATTGCTTTCTCATGAAATTAAAATTTTCTTTCACTTACCTGTACCACGGATTACCAGGGTTGGGTAAATTTTCAAACCATCTGCGCGAAAAGCTGGATTTTCAAAGAACTCCTAAGATTACAAAAGAAGCAAACAGTTTAGTGCCAAAACTATAAGAAAATATTCTTATGTAAAAACAAAACATCAAATTGTTGTGTTAAATTTCACTAACTATGAATTGTGCAATGTCTCGTTCCAGTCCTACATTTGGTAAATCAGGCATCATATGAGAGACAACC